CTACTTTGTGTTGACTCCAGATTTTTGATGGCAAATACTAAATGACAGATAAAAAGCAAAAAAAAAAACATTAAAATTTTCATCCTCATTACTTGTTTCCTTCTCCAACAACCGTACCCTACAGGACTAGCCTTACAGGCCAAGCAGGTGACACCTACAATCACATTCGTTTTTCTGGTTAACATGTCATCTGTTTGATTCACTGAGTTTGCAGGCACTAAACTCCCCAGATTTGTTTCATCCACTGTATTGTCTAATACAGGAATTCTTCACATTTTGTAATCAAGGATGTCTTTGGCAGTCTGGTGAAACCCATGGATCAATTCCCAGAATAACATTTTTAAATGCATAGAATAAAATGCATAGAAATACAAAAGAAATCAATTTTATTGAAATACCACTATCAAAATATTTTTAAAAACCACAGTTCAAGGACCCTAGACCAAGAACCCCAGACCAAGAACCCCTTGTCTATTCCCATTCCCATCTGTACTTAGGATGTTGACTGTCTGAATCTGGGAAAAGCAAAGCCAACAATCATTTCCCAGATAGCCAAAGGGGTTGAAGAGAAATGTTTAATAGAACAATTAGATGCCCTGATCTAGACTTCCATGCCTGGCTGTCCAGTTGGTTGGAAGAAGAGAGCCTAGGAGCCCCAGGAGAGAAGGCAATCCCATAATTGCAGTGTTGCTGAGCCAATCTTGGCCATTCCTAAAATCCTGCTATCCTGCAAATCTGACCCTTTTTCCTTATGCCTCTGGTGGGGTGGGGTAGTGGGGGTTAGTTTCATTAGTTACCTTATTAATAACAGCTAGAATTTATGCAGTTCTTCAAGATTAGAAAAGTGCTTTACAAATATTATTTAATTTTACCCTCAAAAAAAAAACCCTGAGAGGTAGATGCTATTATTATCCCTACTTTACAGATGAAAAAACTGAGACAGATAGAAGTTTAGGTGACTTGACCAGAGTTAATACGTGTCTGAGGCAAGATTTGAACTCAGATCTTCCTGACTCCAAGTCCAGTGCTCTATCTGTTCTGCTGCTTTTGTTTCAAGAAATCACATAGCCATTAAAAAGTGAATTATCCAAGTCCTATGAATGAGGCGAGTTCCACTTCTTTTCAAAAATAGAGATAAGGAAAAAATGGTCATTCAATGAAATAGAGGACTTTCAAGCATTCCTGTGGAAAAGACCAGAGCTGAATAGAAAATTTGACCTTCAAATACAAGACTCAAGTGAAACATGGAAGAGGTAAACAGGAAAGAGAAAACATAAGAGACTTATTAAGGTTGCACTGTTTACATTCCTGCAGGGAAAGATGATATTTGTAACTCATGAGTCCTTTGTCAGTATTAGGGTAGTGGGAAGGAAAACAATTGTATGTACGTGATAGATAGATAGATAGATAGATAGATAGATAGATAGATAGATAGAGGACACAGGATGAGTTGAAGATGAAGGGGTGATATCTGGAAAATAAAATTAAGGTGTGTGAGAAGATTATACTGGGAGAAGGAGAAAGGGAGAAGTAGAATGAGGTAAAATATATCACATGAAACAGACAAGAAAAGGCTTTTACAGTGGAGGGGAAATGGGGGAAGGTGAGAGGGAATGAATGAATCTTATTTTCATAAGATTTGGCTTAAGGAGGGAATAACATACACAATGGGATATGAAAATCTATCTTACTCTACAGGAAAATAAGGGGGGAAGGGGACAAGAGAGCAGGGGATTGATAGAGGGGGGGCAGATTGAGGGAGGGGATAATCAAAAGCAAACACTTCTGAGAAGGGACAGGGTCAAAAGAGAGAATAGAATAAATGGGGGGTAGGATAGGATGAAGGGAAATATACTTAGTTTTTCACAATAGGACTACTATGGAAGTGTTTTGCATGACTGCACATCTATAACCTGTATCAAAGTGCTTGCCTTTTCAATGAGGATGGGTGGGGAGGGAGGAAGGGAGAAAATTTGTAACCCAAAGTTTTAAAAACAAATGTTAAAAATAAAAAAGGTAAAAAAATAAAATAAAAACAAAACAAAACAAAATAGAGATAAGGGCCCAGAGAAAAGATGAGAGAATTTTCTATTTTAGCAATTTTAAAAAGCATATCCTGATCACAGCTCTGGAATTATAAAGAATCCACAGCCAGTGATGCTGCTCAGATGATTTGGAGAGCTCCATTCTCTGGCCCAGGAGTGTTTACTTGTGTGTAGTCAAAATGCCCTCTGGTGGTCAAAATATATATATTACATTACCTTGTCTAGTTAATCTGGTAATAGCCTGCGACCTTGAATATTGCAGAAAGCAGGGGAATGACCCTGGGGGACTCAATATAGCTCTGGCAGCCCCCCTACCTGGGTACCTAGCCCAGACCACCTGTCACATGGAAAAGAAAACGAAACCAAAGATTTAAAAATAAAATCCTGACTAGTTAAAGTATGCTTAGCACTCCATAAAGGCTTAACCAGTGAAACATCAAGGTAGGTAAGATGAGCCAACTTTGTAGGTGAAACTATCAAAATGTAAAACAGTTTAAAAGTAGAAATTCTCATTTTTGACCTTTGATGAGAGGGCCTAGGAAAGGTGCTGAGGAAACTGATCAAGGGATTCTTCCAATACCAGGGATGTCTGTAACAACAAAGATGCTTCCAAAGAACAAACAGATCGGGCAGCAGTGAAATGTTAGCAAATATAACACCAAGGATAGTTAAGGGACAGAAAGGGAAACTGAGGCAGATAAAGAACAGTGTCAGTCACACAGTGAGAATCTGAGGTCAAATTTGAATCCAAGTCTTTTTGACTCTATCCACTGCTTCACCTTAAGTTTAAATTGCCTTATTAACATTTTCTCCATCACTTTCTTAAATCTAGATGTGTTTGCTGATTAATGAGGTGTAAACAATCATGCTGGAAATATAACAACTGGCTCTTACAAGCTGGTGGGAGTTGGTTCCAAGTGGTGTCCCGGACCCAGGACACACCCTTTCACTTTTAATTGCTAGGAAGTTGGTCCAGATAAGCAATAACAGAGGCAACTTGATACAGTAGAAAGAATGCCCAGCTGGGAGTCAAAGGTCTTGGGTTTGAATCTCAGCTCTTTCACTTGCTACCAGGGTGACCTTGGGATGTTACTTCATCTCTGAGTGCCTCAGTTTCCTCATCTGTAAAATGAGGCAGTTTGGACTAGATGGCCTCTGGGTTCCCTTCCAAGTCTGAGTCTATGGCGGTCCTTTATCTTGGCATAGCTAGTCAAAATTTTCAAAGCATCTTTTCTCCTCCCTGTCTCAGCTAGGCAGGATGAACATTTGTTTTATTATTACCCTTATTTGGCAGACAAAAAATCAAAGTTTGGAGAGTTTAGCTTGTCTGGACTTGAGCAAAGTCAATAAGTGGTGGAGCTGGGATGTAAATTGGAGTCTTCTGGGTCCCCTAGTCCAATGCTTTGGAGGTATTGGAGTGGAGGTCTTGGTATGATGTCATCAGATAGGCATGCCCCACATCCGACATATTTACCCTTCCACTCCTCTCCAGTGCAGTCTTGGACGTGGGTGTGGAGGAGGGAAGGGTTAGAAGTAATAGGCCAACATGCAAAAATACTTTTTATGGGGAGAGGCACTGACCTAAGCCTTCAGTGTGCCTTGTGTTGGTGATCTAGCTGCCTGCCTGGCAGCATTTCCTTCTGCCTGAGGAAGGGTCATTCAGCTGGGTCCTCAGCCCCAGTCAGACCACGTCAGGGAAACAATGTTCAGTTCTGGGTACCACATTTTAGGAAGGCCATTGATGAGTTCAAGTGTCCAAAGGAAGGCAACCAGGAGGGTGAAACCCCTCAAGTTGTGCTGTATCAGAATCCTTTGAAGAAACTGAGGATATTTAGCTTGGACAAAAGAAAACTTGCTGGGGGAGAGAAGTTGGTATGATAGCTGTTTTAAGGGACAGCCTAAGCATAAAGGAACATTAGACCTATCCTGTTTAGTCCCAGAGTACAGAACTCAGAGGGGACCTCAGGGTCCATCCCCTTCATTTTACAGATGGGGAAACCAAGACCCAAGGGGTTGGTTAAGTAACTTGCCCCAGGTCACACATGGGTAGCGACTATCAGCAGCAGAATTTGAACCCAGATCCTCTGCCTTCAGAGCAAGTGCTCTTTCCATTGTGCTAAATCACCTCCCACTGAGTTGAAATTGCAAAATCAGACATCATTTGCTTATCTGGACCAACTTCCTAGCAATTAAAAGTGAAAGGGTCTGTCCTGGGTTCTGAGTACCACTTGGAACCAGCTCCCACCAGCTCATAAGAGCCAGCTGTTATATTTCCAATGTGACTCATAAATCAGCAAATACATCTAGATTTAAGAAAGGGATGGAGAAAATGTTAATAAGGCAGTTTAAACTTAAGGTGAAGCAGCAGATAGAGTCTGAAATACTTGGATTCAAATTCGACCTCAGATTCTCACTGTGCGACTGACACTGTTCTTTGTCTGCCTCAGTTTCCCTTTCTGTAAAACGGGGATAATAATAGCACCTACCTCCCAGGGCTATTTCAAGGATTAATTGAGATAATAATTATAAAGCACTTAGCACAGTGCCTTGCACAAAGTAAGTGCTATATATATATGTTGTTTATCATCATCATTTTGAAAAGTGTGTCCTGCGCACTGATTCCCCCCACCCAAGGTTGGTTGTTAAAACTGTACTAGCACATCCCAGATCCCAATCCAAGGCTGGAGTGCATTAAGGAGAGAAACTCTGGGAGGTGGAGGAGGAGACAGAGAACCCCTGCGCAGAGCACGCGGCGCCCAGTTCCCAGCCCGAAGCAGCCTCAAGGCTTCACACCAACTCCTCCGCAGCCCCGCCCCTCCCTCCTCCTCTCCTTAGTGCCACACTTGACCTCCCCAAGATGGCGGCGGCCAGCGTCCACCTCGTTTTACGGCACTGTCGGAAAAGCCACGTCCGCGTCGCTTTACGGTTCTATTGGAAAGATCGCTTCCGCCGGTATTTGACTGCTCGGGAAGCGAGAGGTGGAGGCAGAACCCGGGCTCAGGGCTGCGGGGCGGTCGGAACTTCGCAGGGCGCCCGTGACCATGGACCGCAGGAAGAAGCCGCTGGACGTCACGGCCTCGTCGGTGAGTGCGCCGCGCTCGGGCGCCCCCCGGACCTTGGGGGCCCCATGGGCTCCCCTCCCCCATCCCTGACACAGACCCCCCCACACCCTGGGGGGGTATTAGATGGGGAACCGCTGGGCAGAGCATGGAAAGAAGAGTGTGAGCTCGCCGGCCTCACTTTCCCCACCTGTAAAATGAGGAGTTTGGACTAGACCGGGAGTTCTTATATCGTGCACACCCCCTTGGGCAGTCTGGGCAAGCCTGAGGGCCCCTTCTCAGAATAAAGGATTAAATACGTGGAATGGAACACACAGAAAACCAGTTTTATGGAAATGCAGTTATCAAACCATTAAAAAAAAAAAAAGTTCCAGGGCCCCGGGCTAAGAACCCCTGGACTAGTGATCCCCGCGGTCCCTCCTGGCCCCAAGCCGGGGACGCCCAGAACACCCCGTTCGGTGCCAGCAAAGCCCCCCATCATTGATCGAATCCCCGCACGCCCAGGGCGCCCCCCTGACCCTCTCCCAAGGAGCCCTCTCCCTTCCTCAGTGGATCGTTCACTCCTGCAATTCCCCCACTCAGAAACCTCGAATCCTCAGAAATCCTCTCCCATTTGGGACCCGCCGTGATCTAGCCCAGCCTCTCCTGCTGGCCTGGCCTCATCTCCTCTTGCTGGAGACAACTTACCCTCGTCTGACTATGCCCCGACCCTGCACCTGTGTCCAGTCTGGGGCGAGTCAATAGTCTCTTAATTGCCCAGTCTAGTAGCCTTTTCTCATTTATCTTTAACTCTGGTGATCACTGTCTTCTGGATACTCTTTCCTATCTAGGTTTTCATGACTGTTCTCTCCTGGTTCTTGTCCTTCTTAGTCTCCTTTACTTGGATCTTCTTTTTCATGCCCTCAGAGGTCTCTCCTTGACCCGCTTCTCCTCTTATGCTATCTCATTTGATGATCTTATCTTATATGGGTTCAATGATCATCTCTATGAAGATGATTCTCAGATCTGTTTTTCCAGCCCTAACCTCTCTCCTGACCTCCAGTTTCACTGTGTAGTCTTGTCTGAATTCTGTCTTGTGGATGGGAATGTAAAAGTTCTACCTTAAGCGGTAGGCAGGAGCTATTATCTTGTCCTTGGGTTCCTGGACCTAGTTGTTCCCAGGTCTCATTTTTTACCAGAGGTGTCCGGACTTCATTCTTCAGGGGTTAGGAGTTACCTGCACCAGAGACTGCTGGCTGCTTCCTTCTCCCTCTCCAGTCCTTGGGTTTGCCTCACCTCAATCATCAAAGGCCTGATAGGATCTTTGAGGAAAATCAAGAAGTCAGATTTTTACTAGGAGGACAGCAATTGAGTAGGTCTTTGAGGGAGTAAGATCAACACAGAAGAAGAAGGTTTGGAGGATTTGAAGCATTGAAGAAAGTCTTCACTTCAGTGAGATCACAGATCCTTTGAGAGTGACAGCAGGGAGTGTGTAAAACACTTCATTGGGCTTTAATTTTGTCTGAATGGGTATTAACTTCATTGATATGTGTAGCAGCCTGACTGTAAGACTGATTAGACAGTCTTTGAGGGTTTCCACAGCCAAGAACATTTAACCTTCCCAAACTTAGCTAGGCTGGACTTTGCACAGCAGACATTTCCCTTCCGTTACCTGAGATGGACATGAAGGCTTTCCACTTTGCATACTTGCCACATTAGTTAGCTCTCTGCTGGCATAGCTTTGGAGAACTCAGAGGTGTCTCCATACTGTGGTGGAACTCAGAGAATGGTTTAATTAGGATGGAGGGCGCTGTAAATACCTTAACAAGTATTCCAGGTATAGGTATCAGGTTGGCGTGCATCTCTGGACCACCATCCGATCCTTCCTTAGTATTAAGGAATGGATTTCAGGTGCTCCAGAAGAGTGAGAGCTTCCTGAGCACAAGGACTGTGTCTCCCCTAGAAATTGTGATATATACATTTTGCTCAGTGGTCTTTAAGAAGAGGTTAGATGACCACATAGTGAGGATGTTGTAGGAATTTTTGTTTGTTCACATGTGGGTTGGACCAGACTGCTTCTGTGGTCCCTTTCAACTCAGAAATTCTCTGACGTAATCTGTGATGCCTGGTCACACCATCACGGAACATCAGAACTGGAAAGACCTCCAGGGGTAAGCTAGCCTACTCTACAACTGAAAAAAAAATCCCCCCAGCAGAACCAGTAAGGTCGGTGGTGGTAGTGGCTTATAACCTTCACTTGGAGCTCTCCAATGAGGGGGAACTAATAGATGGCCTCTTGAGGCCCTTTGAGATAGCCTAAGTCATTGGGAAGTTCATATTCACATGAAGCTTAAATTTGCCCCTTTGCAACTTTGACCCATTATTCCTAGCTCTGTCCTCTGAGGCCAAACAGAAAAAAAAAAAATCTAATCCCTTTTCCACGTGATAGCCCTTCGTGAACTCAAAGATAGCTCCCATGCTCCCCCGAGTCTTCTCTTCTAAACAACCCTGGTGCCTTCCACTGCTCCTCCATCGAATGGATTCAATGCCTGTCATCATTCTTCTTGTCCTCTTTGTAGATTCTCTAGATTTTCAATACCCTTCTGAAGCCCCTAAAGCAGAACAGAATGCTTTAAATGGGGTCTGAAGGGGCCAGAGTACAGCAGGATTATCACCTTCTTCTCTTCATGCCCAAGATTCTATTGGCTTTTTTAGCCAACATATACCATTGACTCATTGAGCCTGCGGTGTATGAGTTTTAAGCCCCCAGATCTTCTTTAAACTGTTCTCCAGCCATACCTCATCACCTTGTATTTGTGATGTGGATTTTTTAACACGAGTGTAAGACTTTATATTTATCCCATTAAATTCATCTCAATTAAATTCAACCCCATGTTCTCAGTTCTCTTGCCTTGAAAGTTTAGGAGACTAATTCCTTTGTTGTGGAGAAGCAACACTAGCAAACCTTAACCCAGCTGAAAGGAGGAAGGCAGGAAGCTGTCAGCATACTGGAGTGGTGGGTCATGGTGCACATGGGAACATCAGGGTGACCTAGAAAGCTTTGGTGACCACCTGCCAGTCCTCTTCTGATGTTTCAATCAACAGAGAAAGAAGGACCAGCAAAAAGACACTTGGATGGGATAAAATGGGATCCTGAGGTATTTGTTAATGCATGTCTACTCATAGCTAAATTCTGAACATAACATTTTCTCATTTTTTATTTATTTGAAACTGGAAGAGACCTTAGGAGATTATCTAGTTGAGCTCATTTGTTCTATAGGTAAAGAAATTGAGACCCAAAGAAATAAAATAATTTGCCCATGTGCACCATGGGCAAGTAAGTAGAAGAGTCAGGCTTACGACTCATGACCTATTTTATTTTTACTTCTTGTTTTCTGTGACCTTAGACGAGTCGAAAGTTCCTCCGAACCGTTCTCGTCTTACCTTTTTAATGCTTGGTTCTGATAGAGAGATCCTTTCTGTGGTTCAGATTACAGGGGAATCTCCAAATCAGAAAGGGCACCAGCAGCCACCTCATCCAGCCCGTGCCTGAAATCCCCTCCATCACATCCCTGAAAAATTACCAGGTCTCTGTTTGAAAGCCTCCGGTGGCTCTACCTCACATTTCAGTCCATCAGTAAGCATTTGTTAAGTGCTTACTCTGTGCCATACCTTTTCCTAAGTGCTGGCAGTGCAAAGAGAGAGCAAGAACAGCTCCTGCCTTTAAGGAGCTTCTGTCCTAATGGAGCAGACAACATGAAAATCCTAACATACAAGATGAATGCAAAGTCAGTGGAAAGGAGGACACTGGCAGCTGGGGGACCAGGAAAAGCCTGTGCAAGGATATGGCCCATGAGCTGCGTCTTAAAGGGAGCCAGGGATTCCAAGAGTGTGGAGTTGGACGGGAGAGCATTCTAGGCATGCATGGCAACAGTGAGCAAGCACCAAGGAAGGAAAGAGACGGGAGATAGAGATTGAGGAACACCAAGTAGTCCAGTCCGGTTGGCTCATCGAGTGTGGAGGGGAGCAGAATGTAGAAGACTGGAAGAGTAGGAAGTACCCAAGTTGTGAAGAACTTTAAATGCCAGAGGACTCTATATTTGATCTTGAAGGCAATAGGGAGTCACTGGAATTTATTGAGTAACAGAGATGATAATCATACCGACACGTTAGGAAAATCCCTTTAGCAGCTAAGTAGAGAATGGATAATATGGTGGGGAGAGACTTGAGGCAAATGACAAATGTAAAGGGCTATTGCAATAGGCCAGGCAAGAGGTGATGAGGGCCTGAAACAGGGTGGTGACTATGTGAGTATAGAGAAGAAGATGCCCAAAAGAGATATTGAAGAAAAAGAAATAACAAGATTTGGCAATCAATTGAGTATGTTGGGTGAGTGAGAGATAGGAGTTGCGGGTAACACTGGAGTTGGAGTGGGCTTTAACAGTAATAGGAAAGTTGGGAATAAGGGAATAAGGAATCTTTGAGGGGAAAGATGAGTTCTGTTTTTATCACGTGAGTTTGAAATGCTGACAGAAATCCAGTTCTAAATGTCCAAATGGAAGCTGGTCATATGGGACTGATATTTGGGAGAAAGAGAGGCTAAGATTGGATAAAAAGGTCTAGGAATCATCTCCATGAAGATAATAATCGAACTGATGGGAGATGATGAGATAATATACAAAGAACAGAGACGAGGGCCCAGGACAGAACCTTGGGAGATACCCACCATAGGCATGGCGTGGATGGCAGTCTGGCAAAAGAGATTAAAATGAAGCGTCAGACAGGCAGAACAAAGAGAGGGCAATCATGGAAACCCAAAGAAGAGAAAATGGATATCCAGGAGGAGAGGCTGGTTAACAGCGTCAGATGCTGTAGCCTTTGATTTGGGGAGGCCCCGACTTTGAAAAGTAGAGACTATACAATCTCAACAAAGCTCAGCCCGGTAATCAGATAAGGATGGTCCTGGATTCCTGCGTATAGTCTGGGGGATAGATTCTTAGAGTATGATGTCGGGAAAATGAAAGAGTTGGACTAAATTACCCTACATTCCTTTCCAACTCTAATCTTGTGATCCTTTCTAAGTGTCATTTAGAGGTAAGTTTATGCCCTTGTGATTGAAGAATTTGTTTTAGAGAAGGCACAGAGGAAAAAGATGAAAGCTTAACATCTGTTAAGGAAAATTAAATTCAGAAAATGAAACTGTCTTTTACTCTGGAAAGTGACATTAGGGATATTTTTCCAAAATAGAAACTGATTGTCTAGATAAGAAAAACCTTTTCTGAAGCTCATAAGGATAGGATAAAGATATAGATGAAGGTCTAAAGGCAAGAGAATGTGGAATACTCTAAGTCCTGGAAAGGACCTTACAGACCATCTTGTTTCATCCCCTTGTTTTACAAAACTGAAGCCCAAAATGTCGTGTGTCTTGCCTGAAGTGACAGAGCTATTGAGTGATGGAAAAGATTGAAGCCTGGGTCTTCTGGTTTCCTATCCAACTCTCTTTACACTACCACATTGTCTCTAGTCAGTAACTGTGTTAGAGATCTCATTTGCTTTATTAGCCACTCTAAAGTAAATTCATTACATTTACCTGTTTTAAATATTTTGATAATGTCATAAATCTCATCAGTGTATTTTCCCCACTGGTGGAGATCACAACTGTTCATGCCCTCTCCTGGGTGATTCTCGTTTGTGTTTACATTCTTCACCAAACCATCGGAAGAGCATCTGCTAGTGCCATAGAAGCTACCGTCTGGATTTTTTAGCGTGTAATAAATACCAGTGCAGCACGTGGGTGCCCTCCTGTTACTCCTGCCGTATCAGAGCATGGTGTTATATATGAAGAGCTGGTCTCAAGGAGCCAGGAGGGCCTCAGCTCACTGTACAGCCCTGGGCAAGTCGCTTAACCTCTCTGTGCTCTAGACAATTCTGAGACTAGAATTTGAAGCAAAGATCCCAGTTTGCATTGGTAGAGGGAGGTTTTTTGGTTTTTTTTTCCATCTAGGATTCTTTGTATCAGTGAAATCTGAGCTTCTGTTCTGATCCCTACATTTTCTGGATGAAATGCGTCATGCCATTTCTTAGGCACAAGTTGTCACTGATAGTATGATATAGTCTTCTTACACGTGCCGTGGATTTCTCCATTGTCTTTTGGGTTTGATTTTTCGGAGATCATGGTTTTCCATGGAGAATCACAAGGACGAGATGATTTTTAAAAACTGTGGCTGGTACGGTTTGTTTTTCCTTCATATTTATTTCATATTTATTTCTGAATACTTCTCCCCTCTTCTCTATACAGCAGGTTACCCCTTGTAACAAAAAATTTTAAAAGGGGGGGAAGGGTTCAGGGAAGCAGTTCAGCAAAACTAACGTATTATCAGAGGTTGATGATACATGTAATGTTCCGTACTCATAGTCCCCCACCTCTGCAGGGGTCAAGTTCAATCCTTATTATTCATTCAGCATTCAGTTTAATTGTTATTCTTTCCATCTACATTATGGTCACCTTTGTGTCTGTTGTCTCCTGGCTCTATCTTCTCTGCTTTGTATCAATCGAAGTTAGTGTTCTTGTGTTGCTCTGAATTTTCGTCGATTCTTACTGAACAGTAATACTGAATTACATTCATGTGCCACAGTTTGTTTAGCCATTCCCTAATTTCTGGGCATCTACTTTGTTTCTGGTTCTTTGCTACTACAAAAAGTTCTGCTCTGAATATTTTGTTGCATATATGATCTTTCTTTGTGTCTTTGACCGTGGAATATATACTAACTAGTGAAATCTCTGGATCAAAGAGTATGGGCCTTTCATCACTTCTTTAGCGTAATTCCAAATTGTTTTTCCATGTTGTTGGGTCACTTCATAGCTCTACCTACAGAGTATCAAATGTGTTTGTTTTTCTACAACGCTATCAATGTCAACTTTCATCTTTTGTCATCTTTATCAACTTGCCAAGTAGGAGGTGAATCTTCAGGGTTGTTTGGATTTTCATTTCTGGTATTCATTAGTGATTTGGAGCACTCTTTCATAAAGTTGTTAATAGTTTGTGATTTGAGAATGCTGTTATTAAGATGAGTTTTTGTGTTAGGGAGCTTCTTGAGATCTTTCAGGGTGCTACCCAGTTTCCTAAAGGCAACCTGGTCCACCTGATCTTCTCCTCTTACGCAGTTTGTCCAAGATACATGTGTTAATGGACTAACTCAATGAACTGTCCATATAACTGCATACCCATAATGTGGGCAATAGACGTTCCTCATCACCCATTCAGCTGGATTAAAGTTAACGGTGATTGCTTTTTGTTTTTGTTCTAGTTAGTGGACCTCAAGGCCGAACTTTTCCGAAAACAAGAAGAATTCAAACAAGAAAAACTTCTCAAAGATGCTGGAGTTCCAGGGAAACCAAAATCAACCAACAAGGTAGAAATACAATTTTTTTTATTAATTACCTGTAGGCATAAAATTTTTCACAACAATAGATATCATCTGAACCCAGATGGTAGAACATAACGTCTGTTCACATGTTTTGTTATTAATAAATAGCACTAATATAACCCCAGAGAAAAAAAATCATTTGCTTCATTATACTGGATAGATACCAAATGGGAACAGCAAAATAACAGAAATGTAATGAGGAGGGCTCTAAAAGGTCTTAGTGGCTTCAGATTTTAATGGTTTAGCTTCATTTATGTTGTTAACTATGTGCAGTGAACATTGTTCTCCAAATATGTCATTTTCCAAAATTAGAGCACTCAGTGAGGCTGTAATTAGGGAATAGATTAATATACTAGTGATACTATGTGACTGTATAGGAATTTTTGTTAGCATATCCATGACTCTGAGCTCACACTCTGTCAGGCACCATGAGTAGGTTTAATATTCCATTGATTAATTATTTGCAAGTTCTTTTCCTTCTCTGGCTAATAAGTAGCAGTCATATGTTGGTTTTATTGTGTTTTGTTTTTTTTTTCCAATTCTCCAGAAACCAAGTATCTGGAACAAACAGAATGTTGGTGTTTCAGAACGGGCTGAAAAAGATGCTGAACAGAAGGCTGAGGAGCAAAAGACGTTAGACAAGTCAAGGTAACATTAAGCCCCAGGAAATGTTTGTTTTCATCTCCTCTGAGAGATTTCATGTTAGTCTTTAGGCAAAGTAGTATCCAAATCATACCAGTAAAATGGGGATCTCCAAGAAAAAGGAAATTCTTTTGTTTGTTCCCTAAATTTTCCTACCCTTGAAATCAGCATGGTTCAAAATTTCAGCTCCCTGGTCCAGTTTAGTTATGGCAGAAGACTCCTGGTTCACCCATCTCACCTGATCCTGCGTACTCCTGCAAAAAAATAAATAACTTAATAAACCTCACCAGAACTAATGGACAGAACAGCTGTTTCTTGGATTAAAATGCCAGTGAGTTGTCTGATCATAATTGAGTCCTGGATGATAAGTAGAGAAGTGGAATGCCTAGTCTGGACAGTGCTGGACTAAGAAAGAAGTCAGGAGGACCAACCCGACTCCTCCTGGCTTTGTGACTCCCAAGCAAGTCACCTTAACTTCTCTGGGCCTCAGTTTACTCACTTGTAAAATGAGGATAATAACACCTGTAGTGTACTAAACCTCACAGAGGGGTTGTGAGGGTCAGATGAGATCATGTCTATAAAGTGCTTTACACACTATAAAGTGATCAATACATGTCAACTCTTGTTATAATTAGTAGTAGTAGTAGTAGTAGTAGTAGTAGTAGTAGTAGTAGTAGTAG